ATATATCGCTGCTATAAGGGCTAAAAGGCATATTGAAGTGCCCTCAGACCCTTCCCATATCGGAGCGGTCAGACCGCTAATGGTTTTCTCGCCTTGGGATGGCGGAGCGGAGCCACCGCTACGTATAGTGGTCAATATAGCGGTGTAAAAACCGCTCCAATACCGCTCCGATACCGCTATATGTTGCGGAGCGGTTCTGGTATTGGTGGTTGTCTTGACCAACAAACAATCATTTCCAACACAAAGAAACTCATGTTGTCAGTTTGAGTCAATAAAAGAGTACCCTTTTAAGAGACTGAAGCTGAATATGCTTACCAGTTTGTATTTTATAAGTAGGTGGCTTTGTTTCAATGAGATAAAATTATCTCTTCTATTGATATAAATTTGAGCCAATGCTTGTTAGTAACTGTTGAATGTCCTCTTGGGATCTGATACCAGCAAAAAGGTACTCACTGAGCGCTTTTTTCTCTTAGTGATCAGATTGGAATAACACTATAAGGTCACGTTAACTTGAGCAGTTTCTGGTGAGAAATCACATTCTGCAAGATTTGAATTGTCTATTTGGTGGTGCATGTTTCATCTGTGCATTTAAAAATTTACAGAATGAGATTTCTGGTTGGAAATTCCTTGAGTGAATGCACCCTCACACTTCCCGCATAGTTGCCTCAGCAACAAACATCCAAGGAGTCCTCATATGCCCCCCGAGGAAAAGGGCACCCAAGGAATGCCTCCAAAGCAAAATTTGGCCGTTGCTGTTGCCTCAGATCCTTGGATAGAGCTTCCCTTGAGGTCAAACTCCGAGGTCTCCTTGGATTTTCACATCCAAGGTAAATTTGCTGGTTGTGTCAGTGTTGAGAGTCAATTAAAACTGTGCTATGTCATTTAAAACTCATGCTTTTTGGTCCTTTGGAATTCAATTAAGATAATTTTCTCTTTTGATACTTGTCAGTACTCAATTCAACAGAGTTCTTCTTTCTGATTGTCTTGTTTTAGGAGCGCAGTCCTTAGAAATCTTCTACTAGTCTCTTATTGGTAGATTGACCTTCCTTCCCTTTCCTCAACCCCTCTTGTTAGAGGTCTACTAGTTTAGTCTGTACTCAAGTGTACCACATGAATAACACAATATCAATTCTCTTTGCCACTCTCAGTAAAGATTACACACAACAGAAGTGTACTCCTCACAGTCCAAAAGAGGGCCAAGAGTATTTTTACCCATTGGGTCAGGTCTTGTGCAAGCAAGAGTCAAGCCAATTCTAGTTGAGTGATAGGTCCATGTAAGACTGATTCTAGATACACTCTGGAGCTTGTTGGTTGATTCCAATTCAGTAGAAGTCAATGGATAGGATTCTGATTCTTTGTTAGCTTCTCTGTTACTTGTCTTGTGAAGTACTGGTGCCACAATATTGAAATTTAATATAAGCTGATCATGTCTCCTGAAAATGCCGTGGGCACATTGAGGTGACAGTGGGAGATTGAAGTTGTGATTTAGTAGTGATTATATTGATATGATAAGGATAAAAAACACTCATACACCACCAGACGTAATGTCAATTGGGGTGATTTCAATTCCTAACATGTTTTAACCAATGATCACACCATCCAGTTCCATGGGATAAGGTTTCAGTCCCATATTTGCACACACATATAAAGATATCTCTCCCCCTTGGTGCCAGTGACAACATCAGATAACTCATCATATTCAACAATATTCATGACAGTTTACAACCAAGGAAACCTAGGGTCCTGGGGTCCATGGAGCTCTCTTCTTGTACTATTTCTGACATTCTTGTCTCTCAAGTTATGCAAAGGGCTTCAATCAGAAAAGGAAATATGGGGTAGTCCAGAATCTACATCAGAATATAGCTCCTGGATGGAAGTGGATTATCCTCCAGATTATCATCCTCCAGAAGAATTCCACTCAGACTCATGTGATCTTTCTCAAGTTCCAGGATTCAATGGAAGTCAACACATGCACACATCCATTCAAAACGCACAAATTGATGATGTCCTGAGAGAAGCAACATCAGTACAAGTAGATAGTGGATTGAAACAGATAGCAGCTTCAGCTCAATCCCAATCAAGGAAAAGGAAGAACCAAATTCACAACATTGTGGAGTACAGTGATGGAAACATACTTAAGACAACAGATATGGAAGCTTCTTCACCCTCAAATCTCAATTTACAAGAATGTATGAAAAAGGTCTCAAGGCCAAGAATCCATTCACAATCTCATTGGAAAGTCAGCAGGAGTCCCAGGGCAAATAACAAATTTTTCCTGTTTCAGAAGATTGGAACCCTCAATGCAAATCTCTCTCCAACACTTTGTTACAAGATATTTGAGTCTTTCCTTGAGATATACAAGGCTTTGGAGCTCAAATGTGGAAATAATCCTGAAGCAATCAAAGCTGCAATTCAGGCAGTGAAGAATGCAAGCTATGGGGTTGTTATGGTATTTCTTGGTCTTATAAGGGTCTTTGAGGCTGAAGGCAGCAGGAAGGAAAATCTTGAATTTCTCCTGAATGATGGCTGGGATTATGTGGAAAATTTCTTTCAGAACTGGAAGAATGCAGAACTCAAAGATTTTGCATTGAGGGAACATACTAAATTTGTATCACAAAATGCATCCAATCCTTATTTCTACCTGAGGTATTTGAAGGGAATTGATAATCCTAACAAAGTGTCTTTCTCACTGGTTTATACACTTGCCTTGGATTGGTCACAAAAGAGAGGATCACCTGTCATACCTGTAGATGGAATATCTCAGCATATACAAAGACTTGTGGATGTATATGAAGCTGATTCAAACTCAATTCAAGGTGGTCTTTATGGAAGGATAGGTATCAGGAACCATGCATTCTGGGGAGTAGAACAGTTTTCAAGACAATATTGGTATTCATATGGAGATACCACCAAACCACCACAAGATGTCTTGTTATTGAGTTCAAATGCTGCACAGTTTCATACCCCCATTGGCAGAGAAATGTGCAGAGCTGTTCATATTTTCTTTGAAGACCTGATCAGGGATTTGAATCAGAAATACTTGACAATGAATGGACATCCCCATCTAGAAGATGTACCACCTGAAGTGGTCCAAGATATGAACATCATAACAAAATCTGTCAGCATGGCAGAGTACAAAGTTACTGTTGTGGTACTTGGTATGATCAGGATTCTGAACAAAGAACACTTGACTGAATCCCAACTTGAGAGATTGATAAACCATGCATGGAACTTTCTCAAGAAGCAGTTTTCTGAATGGAAGTTGTTAGATTTTTGTACAAAAGATTCTCAACACCTCTTCAACTACGATTCTGTGCATCTTCAGTATGGCACCCAAGTTGATAGTCCTGAAGCTCTTTTTCTTGGGCTTGGTGGGTTCAAAAGCAAGAATTACTTTCCAAAGCGGTGTATTGCTTATTTGTTTAATTTGTGGAGGAATTTAGTAACTCAAATTATGCCCGGTTCACAGGAATACATAGAAACTCCAGCTGCAATTCAAGACAGCCCTTCAGGAAGCATAGAAAAATGGAACTTATTGCTTAGAAGTCATAATCACATTTATCAATCACTTGGCATGAATTCACTTCATAGAACAGATGGAGACACCTGAGCTTCTGAAGGTCCAAATTGTCCATGGGACTGCCATCAGTCAAAGTGTCATCATATTTCACTTGAGAGGATACAGAATATTATATATGCATACATCAAGCCTGTTACTTAATTTCCACTCAGTAATTATGTGTTTTGACTGAATGTGTGCAACTGAATCATAATTTATGTGAAGACTGTAGCTTCAACTATCTTAAAAGACCTGGAGTCTGCATTTCCACAGGACAAGCCACAACACATCATTTCAGTGGGGGGGGTGGAGACAGAATGCATTTTACCAGTGCCAATTTTCTGAGAGAAAACACACAAGACACTTTTTGAAGAAGTATTAGAGCTAAGCAATACATTGTCTTCCATTAAAGAATTTTTTCCTTGTCTGGTATCATACTTTTCCTCATTATCTTGTCCTTTCATTGGATGAATCCTGATAACTTTATATTCCCCTGGATTTAAATGAATATGTGAGGTTTTCACCCTCACCAAGACTACGTCTGTCAGTTAAAGCACCTGATTATTTCAATGGAGCAACAAACCAGTTGATATGTAAAGGTTCCCAACTAGAGAAATCTGGGATATGACCAGAGCTGGAAGATATTATTGCTTGTTGTGACATATGATCAGGTCCTCAGCAGTGGATCACAGGAAAGAAGATGTTGCTCTGGTGTTTTACTGTACATCTTGACAGCATCACATTTCCTTGGAGCATGGTATTGTTTGTAGTCACTCACAGTATGTCTTCATTGCTTGTGGTTGAGTTTCCAATGCATCATATGGCTATGCTTTTCCGCATGGTTGGAGTTTATCCAACCTCTGCCAATTCCCATAAATCTTCTGAGTTTGTCTTGACTGAGCACAAAAAAGCTGTCACTTGCCTATCCTTTTGTGCCCATCTCAAGCAGAAGCCACAATCCCCTTCAGCGATTAAAAAGTTCATATGGTAGTCATGCTTGGATGGAATGTGTAGGTGTCTTGACAGCTTCAAAATTGTGTGTTACAGGGGACCTTCTTATGGCCCTAGACTAAATTACTGTTGCTGTCTCTTGCTTATATCTTGCTAGTCTACTCACTTTATTCGGAATTCAAAAACACGAGGCAATCAGATTTGCCCAGTGACTCAATGGATGGTCCACAGAAGAGACCACCAGACTGTCACCCATTTGGAGATGAATGGCCAACTGAATGTTGGTCAAAGCAAATCAATAATACGACAGCTGAATATTACTTCACTGAGTATGTGTGGTATATGTCATCAACTACAACATCCTTCAAAAGCAAAACACTGGTGATACAATACCCACCTAAAGATACTCAATTCAATATCATTTATCTTGTTCACCATTAAGGTTCATAGCTATAGGCGATCCTGGACGCGAAGCGTATCCAGTCCAGCTCTAATCGTAGAGTGTAACCTTGGCCTGATCACTACCTGAGCAAATCTGGATCGCTAACCAAATAATACAGGCTGTCATGCCACTCCCACAACTGGCAACCAATTGTTTTTCTCCTTGTTTGACTGCTTCCCAGCGCTCAGCTGAACCAAAAGTGGATGTGAAGACTTCTTCCAGCTTCTCGGGTGATAAAGAGGTGCGGTAACCTTCTTTGTGTGTAGCCAAGAGTTCTGAGAATGGTAGAGAGAGTGAACCTGGAATGTGCCCACTCGATAAACTGGCCCTCGGCTCAGGTGCTGTACCCTCAAACCTGTGATGTGAGCAAGCCGTACCACCGAATAGAATCAACTTCTTTAATTGGTGCAAAGTTCAATCATGGGGCGGATGATTGAGTCCACTAACCTTGGGCGGGTTTGAGCATTGAGGATTTCCATGCGTTGATCTGTGATGTTAGTAATGATATCGTCGTAACTGGTCACATATTGTTTCCCTTCATAATCCTCATGATTTGCTATAAGTTGATAATCTGATTTTTTAACCGGACTTGGAGGCCCAGAGTCTGTTGGTAAGCCTTCAGCGATCCAAAGCGGAAGGCCACCGTCAAGAACTGCAATCGATGGATGGTGAAATGACTTTTACGAGATGAAAATATCAACTTGTCACCTCAAGGATCGAGTGATTCTCCCCAATCTAAGTGCCCGAGCAGCGAACTCATTCTACGTACGTGTAGGAGCCAGGCTGCGCGCGGCCCGGAAAATATGCCCAGAGAGTCATAGAAGACTACAGTATTGGAAACGGATATTCCCAGATCGTTCATAGCCACTTGAAAGGTATCAAGATTGGGTCTCATGTGAGGTAAACCACCGGCCTAAGTGAGATCGGAGATT